CAGTGAGAGCATATAGAACCATGATAACTTGAACAAACATTTGAATGGTTTAATGTGTTTTTCTACTGACTTGCTAAGGGTGAACCCAGGAACAACTTCACACCAGTGTCCATAAAAATGTTCACTACTGAGTAAAGACACTTTTTGTGAAACACATTAAATCAGACACAAAACATTAAAAAGCATCAAAGATGTCAGTTCCCACCTGCACCCTCACATGGATGAGTTAAAGCATTTAAAGCAGTGAAAGTGTAAAGAACACAAATTCAGTGCAAAGGAATGATGCAGCATTGATCTTACCTGAGATACAGAGGAGGAACACAAAGAGAATTAAAGAACTCCTGAGTGAGTGAAAGTTCATGTTTCTGTAAGAGACTCCAGAGACAAATACTCTTCCTGCCTCTGAGTGAAGCAGCTCCACTTCAGTGCTCTTCCTGTTTTGTTTTTTCCTTTGCTAGTTCTCACTCTGTCTAATGTACAGAGCAAAAAACACCAGTAAAGTGCAGAGCTCAGCAAACTCAAAGATTTTCCAGTGATCTTTAGACCCTCATTTTTAATTAATTATCTAAATAATGAATTATGTCATTGTATTTTGCCTCTTTCCATATTAATAACCAATCACTTACAGTAGTGTTAGGTAACTATGTGTGAACCACAGTTCACAGAAAGGTGTGTAAATGTGCACTAGCAGAAATAGATGGAAAAAGGTTTTAGGACAAAATTTTATCACAAAACTTTTTTAAAACAATACCAGGTAGCATTTTCCCCACCATTTTATTTGATGTAGCTTTTAGAGACATTAAATTCTTAAAGAACTCTGGTTCCTATCACCACCACTGTGAACAATTCTCACTCAGGAAGTTTTTCCCTCTACAGTTTCATTTACCGCTCAAACCCCCATTACATTCTCATAAGCCCAATCCCATTTCTTATTTTCGGCCCTACCCTTGTGAAACCTGGCTGGCTTTTTGCAACAAACAACAGTCTACTTGACTGTGTGTAGCCGGTGTGAACTGAATTAAATTCAAATCTGTATCTAGATCGAAGAAATATATTTGATAATTGTATTCAGTGTGTTTAAACAAGGGTCTGTGTGTCTCGTTCACCACACCAACCATTGCCACTCGTGGAGGGGGCATCTGAAAAATCCACAGATTATGTGTGAATTTCAGCAGGTCCTTCCTGAGTCCCCTGTAAATCTGAATCATCCAGAGAAAATCCATCCAAAGTCGACACGTTGATATCATCCATAAAAACACCCTCATTTGGTCCATTGTTAGCGTGTGGGGTAGAATCCAATAAATTCCGTTCGTCCTGTGACGGTAATCCATCGTGAGTTTCCATCAATATTCCAGTAATCTGAGCCCAAACTCCCAAACACGCTGCCATCTGCACATCTGTGTCTCCAATTCCAAGAGCAATTATATACTCTACCTGGAGACGGGGCCCCATCCCATATGGTCCTGTCGAATAAAAGTGTAAGGCGAGTGCTGCTACATATGTCCCTCCATCAAGATGCATAACACACCATTACGTACCACACATATCTGTCAAACCATTCATAACTATTACATCATCACATCACATACATACCTATTACATCATGTGAATCGCCCTTCTCCAGCAGTCAGACTGCAGAGCGCAAGGTCGAGAGGCCGCACACACACACACACACACATGCACCCTCACGGTTAAACTGCACAGCACGACATGGGAAATCTCACCACAACAGGATTCAGGACAAAACTTGGGTACTTTTAAAAATAACTATCCCAAATTAACCTCTGGTTCCTACAACCTGACACTTATTTCATATTTTAAATTTTCACATAGTTTTTATGAAAGCTTCTTCAGGGAAATTTGCTCACACTTTCACCAACATGCATCCATTTACATTTTTTGCAGGTGACGTCATCGCATAGCTCAATCATTTTGACATTTACCAGGTTCTATCACTCCTCTGGTGGACCAACCAGGAAATATATTTGCTGTTAACTAGTACTTAATTTGATAACAGGAATCACAGCATTTGTGTTTTTAAAAGTTTTGTTGGGTTTTCTACTCAATTTCCATTTATCCTAGAAGCTTATTTAACTGTATCCGCCGCCCCCCCCCCGTTAAAAATTTGCCATCAGATCGTAAATTCAAAATTCACTGATCAACCGATCAACCTGTGTTGTTGCCCTTGGTCAGAACTGTTAACATGAGAAGAGAAGAAACAGATTGGTGCAAATGGTACAACAACTTGATGGTCAGCAGATATGAACATACATACATACATCATCTAAACCGCTTATCCTTCTGGGTTGCTGTGGAGTGCTGGAGCCTATCCCAGCTTGCCAAAAGCATTCACTCATCTGCTCTCACACACATATGAACTTGAGTGACATCCCATTCTTAATCCATAGGGTTTTATATGATGTCGGCTACAACAGCTTCAACTCTTCTGGGAAGGCTTTCTACAAGGTTTAGGAGTGTGTTTATGGTAATGTTTGACCATTCTTCCAGAAGCGCATTTGTGAGGTCAGACACTGATGCTGGCGAGAAGGCCTGGCTCGCAGTCTCCGCTCTAATTCATCCCAAAGGTGTTCTATCGGGTTGAGGTCAGGACTCTGTGCAGGCCAGTCAAGTTCTTCCACACCAAATTGCTCATCCATGTCTTTATGGACCTTGCTTTGTGCACTGGTGCGCAGTCATGTTAGAACAGGAAGGGGCCATCCCCAAACTGTTCCCACAAAGTTGGGAGCATGAAATTGTCCAAAATCTCTTGGTCTGCTGAAGCATTAAGAGTTTCTTTCACTGGAACTAAGGGGCCGAGCCCAACTCCTGAAATGCAGCCCCACACCATAATCCCCCCTCCACCAAACTTTACACTTGGCACAATGAAGTCAGACAAGTACCGTTCTCCTGGCAACCGCCAAACCTGGACTCATCCATCGGATTGCCAGACGGAGAAGCGTGATTCGTCACTCCAGAGAACACGTCTCCACTGCTCTACAGTCCAGTGGTGGCGCTTTACACCACTGCATTCGACGCTTTGCATTGCGCTTGGTGATGTAGGGCTTGGATGCAGCTGCTCAGCCATGGACACCCATTCCATGAAGCTCTCTACGCTGTTCTTGAGCTAATCTGAAGGCCACATGAAGTATGGAGGTCTGTAGTGATTTGTCCTCCCCACTCTGTAGCAGCTCCAGTCTTTAAATCTACACCACTTCTTCTGTTCATTTTAATATTGCAATGCAGAGACACTGGACACTGACCCTGCTCACTTCCTGACCACTTACTTTGCTTTTTATCACTGACACAGCACAATCTAAATAAAGAGGCAGAGAATGAGCATAAACAATGTTTTACAAGACTTTACAGTGAACATGTTAAACTTCACACAGAGAGACTTCTTACCTGCACTGCCTTCAGGTACAAATGATCCCTGTTGTTAGGGCTTCCACCAATTTCATTATGTGCAAGTCTAATACTGTACATCATCTCTAAAATAACACTGGCTCCTCAAACTTTAGGCGACAACTGCTAAAGCAGCTTAACTCCCACATTTGACAAAACATGCTGGTTTTTGTTGCCAGTCTTATGATGTCAGTTCACTGTACAGCAGCATTAACTTGCATGTAGCAATAAGCACAAAGAGTAACATAAAATATAGAGGAAAAGTGCAAGTCTAATCTTGGAATGGCAGTTTAATGAAATAGCTCCAGAAATACTTCAGGAGCTTGTTGATCTTCACTGTCACAGAAATACCATCTCTTATCCAACAGAACAAAAAGTAAGATTCACAGGCGGTTTTAGGCGGTTTTTCCTCCTGCAAACCTTAATTTAAACAGTTAGATGCTATCATTTCCTGGGAGTGACCTAAGTGAGATATTTCCGGCCAAAAAAAAGAAAAACCCCGAAAGTTATCTCCAACTGTTGTTCAAATGGCAGCTTTAAGTTTCACAACAGCCATAAAATGTGATTTCTACATGTTTTGAAGCAGGTCTCTTAGTTGACCTGTGCAGAGACACATCAGTGTCCTGTTTAATCTGACAACAGAGTCACAGGGAAAATAATTTATTATGTTAATTAAAAATATCAGAGATTATTTCCATTCCATCAGCACAATGGGCACTAAGAGGCCTAAAGAGAAAGGCTGAAATAATTTTCTAACAAATATTCCTGCACAGCCATGTTCTCTCTCCCAAATCACAAACAGCGCATATATAATGATATCAACACACTTTGACGTGATACTTAGGCCTCTTTTACACACATACGTAAGAGTGAAGCAGCACTGTGACGACAGCTTGCACACATTAGCCATTCATACATACAGTGGAGAGGTACAGCAGGCCTGTACTGGAAACTCTTACCACTTGTCACAAAGTTCTACAGACATTCTTTTTCTGAAATAATAAATCAGTTTCTTTTCAAAGGTAGTAAGTCTTATGCTGGCATTAAATGATGAAACTTTCAGGCAAGTAGTTGCATGTTGAGTTGCATGCAACAATTTTTTTTGTTACACTATAGAATTCTTTCTGAGTAAAGTCATCAACAAGGTGTTATTTACATATTTCAAGCATTTTAAAGCCTTTGTATGAAACTAATGTGGATGCCAACCGAATTTGGCACGTTATGCAACTCAAATACAATTTAGTTTCATGTAGGTTTCAGGCAACGGTAGTTGCATACAAGTTTTACTGTGTAATGCCAGCCTTAGAACTAACTGGTTCACACATACTTACTTAACACTACTGTAAATGATTGGTTATTAATATGGAAAGAGGCAAAATACAATGACATTATTTATTAATTAGATAATTAATTAAGCATGAGGGTCAAAAGATCACTGGAAAATCTTTGAATTTGCTGAGCTCTAAACTTTACTGGTGTTTTTTGTACATTAGACAGAGTGAGAACTAGCAAAGGAGGAAAAAACAAAACAGGAAGAGCACTGAAGTGGAGCTGCTTCACTCAGAGGCAGGAAGAGTGTTTGTCACTGGAGTCTCTTACAGAAACATGCACTTTTACTCACTCAGGAGTTCTTTAATACTCTTTGTGTTACTCCTCTGTATCTCAGGTAAGATCAATGCTGCATCATTCCTTTGTGCTGAATTTGTGTTCTTTACACTTTCACTGCTTTAAATGCTTTAACTCATCCATGTCAGGGTGCAGGTGGACACTGACATCTTTGATGTGTTCTGCTTTTTAATGTTTTATATCTAACTTTTAAAGTCTTTCCCAAAAAGTGTCTTTACTCAGCAGTACACTTTTTATACTGACACCAATATCTGTAAAGTTGTTCAGTAGAAATGTTTCTGTAGAATAATTTTAAGCATTTTAATAACTGACTGTCATAACATTATGGATGCAACTGTTTACCAAGTGGCAAAGATACATTTAACCATTCAAATGTTCAAAAGTTCTCATGGTTCTATATACTCTCACTGGCCTCTTTATTAGGTACATTGTATCTACACCTGAGGTCCAACATTATTAGGTCCACTTACCATATAGGTGCACTTTGTAGTCCTGCACTTGAAGGATTTGTTTCAAAACCACTTTCAAGAATGTCTCAGATTCACTCTGTTGGGAGTGGGCTTTACACATAAAAGAAATGTCAGTGCTATATTATGATTAATACCACCTTTATTAGAGAAATATACATTTGTGTTTTCAGTTATATGCCAACTTTTATTATCTCTTTATATCCATCACTGCTATAAATTGATATACGGAATTTTGGAATTAAAATCTATTATAGACTGTAGTCCATCTGTTTCTCTGCACACTTTGTTAGCTCCTCTTTACCCTGTTCATTAATGGTCAGGACCCCCACAAGGAGGTGGGTTCACTTTTCATCAGTGGTCAGTTTCTGACCACAAGACACTGTTGACTGGATATTTTAAGTCGGTGGGCTATTCTCAGCCCAGCAATGACACTGACATAGCCTGGCTGCTGGGTGTGATCCACTGCAGCACACACATACACACGCACTCTAACATGCTACTGCTTTGTCAGTGTCACTACAGTGCTGAGAATGATCCACCACCCAAATAATTCCTGCTCAGTGGTGGTCCTGACTGTTGAAGAGCAGGGTAAAAGCGGGATATAAATCCCATATGCAGAGAAACAGATGGACTACAGTCTGTAATTATAGAACTACAAAGTGCACCTATATGGTAAGTGGACTGATAAATGGACTATGAGTATAGATACAACATGAGGTGCCCAATAAAGTGGAAAGTGAGTGTATAATCATTGCATGAATAAAGAACCCTTGTAGAACCCTTTTAAGAGTGTAGGACTGAGGCTGCGGTATAATTTGACTTCTGTTCTGCAGATTCTGAGAGCCTGAAGACACTGAAGAATTTAGCTGTAAAACGTGGAGGATCTCTCAGTATTCCATGTTTCTATGATGAGAAATACAAATCAAACCGTAAATACTGGTGTAAGGGGTATTACTGGTCCACCTGTACAATAGTAGCCTCTACAAACACAAGTGGAAGAACATCAGTCACTGATCATCCAACCCAGAATATGTTTACTGTGGAACTGAACAGCCTCCAAGACTCTGACTCTGGATATTATTGGTGTGCTGTGGAAATTGGTGGGTTAGGGACCCCAGATGACAAGGATTATATGTACCTGACAGTCAGTGCAGGTAAGAAGTCTTTCTGTCTGAGGTTGAACATGTTCACTGTAACTTCAAGCTTGTAAGATGTCATTTATGATGAAGAGTGTGTTTAAACCACTCATTCTCTGCCTTTATTCAGGTCCTGCTGTGTCTGTGATAAACAGTAGAGTGAGTGGTCAGGAAGGGGGCAGTGTCAGTGTCCAGTGTCTCTACAGTGCTGAATATCAGAATAAACAGAAGCAGTGGTGCAGATTTAAAGACTGGAGCTGCTACACAGTGGGGAGGACTAACACATCCCAGAATTCAGCAGTGCTGGTCATTGACTATGGAAATGGATCTTTTAGTGTGGAGATGAGGGGTCTGCAGAAGAGTGATGCTGGCTGGTACTGGTTCAGTGCAGGAGATGTGGGGGTTACTGTTTACCTCACTCTTACTAGACAACCTTCAGGTAAGATCACCTGTATCAGAAATACTGTTCATACCTGCTGAACATCATGCTACAATGTTGTGGCACTCACATTAATTTATTGTTGCATCAGTGAAACCACTTCAGGTCTGAAAACAAACAGAGCCTTCAAATTCATCAAATCAAGAAATAAAAATAATATGTTTATTTTGTCCTTTTAGATTCTACAACTGTGAGTGGAAATACAGAGACAGAGCTGTAAGTAGTGACGTTCTACTTTGTGTAAGTGTTCAAAAACTTTTGCTTTTTGAAGAACAACTAATCCTCCTGCAGTAACAGCTTCTGATAATGAACATGGCACAAGCAAGAGTGGGAAGATGCAAGATAATTATGTAAAAGTCAGATGTGCTTAAGTTTAATTGATTTTAGACTCCTAATAAGGGGGGATATTTAAGAAAATATGCATTATTTGGCAGCATGTATGCTTTAACCACCTTACATAACTGCACTATGTAACACACTATGCTTAAATTCAGTGTCTCTATTCACCCTCTGTCTGAAATGCTCTGTTAGAGTTGCTGTGTCTTTAAGCCCCGCCTCCAAAAGAGCCCAGTGTGCTCTGATTGGTCAGCTTGCCCACTCTGTTCTGATTGGTCAGTTGCCAAAGTGGTTCCACCCCTGTCTTGCAGGACATGCAGAGAGTCTCTAGACTCTCCATATTGCTTGACCACCGCTGCTCTCTCTCTCTGCCAACTTTGAACGGAGTGTTTAAACAGCAACTTGCCTTTAATGAGCCAAACGTGACGCCGTCTATCTCTCGTGACAGGCTGGTTCTCACTGTTTATGTAGGAAGTGGAGGGGATTTAGGGCAGGTGGTTAATTTTTTGGGTGTAACGATAAAAAGAACGTCTTTTAAGTATGACCTGGCTCCTGACGGTTTTACCAAAGAGCTGTTGAAAGGAACCGGATCGTTTGTGAGCATAACATCACCATCAGGCAGACCCTTCTCTCCTGAGCAGCTGTAAACATGGCTATTTTTCCAAAGGTTATCAGTTCTGCTGTATCAGCTTGAGCCAGAGTCTGATCCTGAAAGTCAGGTCAGTATCTTCTTGACATGGTTACAAAAATGAACAAACTCCTTCAGTAGCTGCTGTGTGTTGCGTGAGGGCGTGCCAAGCTTGCCAGTAGACGGCAATAAGGATTGTGTTATGAGATGATGTCACCTTGCAACAGAAGGAAGAGCTGGAATTTCAATGAGGCATTTCAGGCAGTTGAGAAAAGTGGTTTCTGTGGGAGAGAGTTACTCCCTCTGTACTTCGTAACTTTGCAGACCCTTTACATGCACAAAAAACAATATAACGCACTAAAACAAAAAGGAATAACCAGAAAAGCATAATAAGTCCCCTTTAGAATTGAAAGAAGTAGCATTACTGAGTCAGTAACACGCTAATATATGGCATGTTGGATCTGCTGCAAGTCGGCCTGTAAAACCTCAAATAATAATGTAAAAGTCAGAAGTGCTGAGTCGGATTTGTCAGGAGTTTTTCAAACCACAACACACATCTTTATAAATTAACTTCTCACGCACAGGATCAAGAAGAAGCTCTGCCTCAATCTTTAGGTCTCAGATGCAGAATCAACATTATACTCATGAAGATATGATGACAATAGTAGATAATTCATTTACATCCTCAGAAGACACGGCCTTCACCAAGTTTAGCTGAATTCTTTTTGAATACTCTTTCAATGCACTATCAATCATCAGATTCACCTGCTTGTGGAAGGACTCTGAAGCGCAACCGACATTACAAAATGCTCTTCCACGTTTTGTGCGTAATTACTCATTTCCAACAGAGAGGTCTCCAAATCATACATAGCGTACATAGTGTAGCTTTAAGTTAAACATAAATATAGATAATGTCTGGTCTTACACAAAACACAAACTAGCTTGAGAAAGTTTTTAACTGTTTGAAGTCATCAATACTGAGTGGAACAATATTCACTCTTTCTGTAAAAGGCTGTTTACCCACGAGACTTCAGCATTTAAAGAAATCAAAGGAAAACACTTTCCCATACTAAGTTACTTTATCTATTGTTTAATACTTTCTAAAATCCTGACCAATTATTTGTTGTTAAGACCATTAAAAGCTTAATGTTTTGCCTTTTTGGGCTTGGCCCATTTCTTTTGTGCACGAGAGTGTACATTGCTGAAAGATAATGCAAAATATGTGAAATTCCTTTTGAATTTCAGGATTCCTATTCCTTACAAAGTTTTGTAAAGCCTTAAAGGAGATATTGAAAATTTAAGGTCATATAATGTCTGAAAATGTCTTCTTGTTTACCGTTAGAGGTGTTAAATGTACAGATGTCCAAATTAAAATAAGCTTGATTCAGTTCAGATCCTTTTCTGTTATGTGTGCTCTGTTTACTCCTCTGTCATAGAGGAGTCATAAACAGACATCCTTCACAACCTGCAGCAGTAAGAAATGTTTTCGGAAGATAACAAAGCAGTTTAAATGTCTGCAGTGTTGAATTGTTTTAAAGAAGAAGCTTAAACCATGTAATATCTGCAACTTTTGTGTTTCTACTATTTGAACACCGCCTTTCATCTAAACGTGGATCTGTAAAATGTGAGCGCGCTAGAGACTGTTTTCTACCATTTGATACAAGTGACATGGCACCCAGGGCTTAAAAAGGTATTAAAAAGCATTGAAATAATTTTTAAAACTGTGCATCAGCCCTGGATTAGTAGGTACAGCAAAGGTAGCAATGCTAACTCATCCAGTGTTTTTTTTTATTTTTTTTTCCTGAAATCAAGTGTATTAGGTAACACTTTACAGTTGGGTACTGTTCATAAGGCTACATTACAACCTGTATTAGCCTTTCTTACAACTGACATAAATCTACATAAACGTTTATAAAGGCTCATGCCAATAAGCAGCAATTGTCATAAAGGCAGCTTTCAACTTCACTTTTAAGTTGATAGAACACCAAATAACAGGTCAAATAACAGGTTATTGTTGAGATTTGGGTATCATAACACTTTCTTGGGTGAAATGATAGCATAATGTGACAGCTGAGTTTGTATCTCAGTGTATTTTTTTGTATGTCAAAGACAAGATGCTAATTATGCTACATAACTTGACAAGTGAGGCTGGTGGCAAAATCAATGTATGTCTAAAGCGATGTTTTGACACGTTGTGGTAATATACTCTTACTCGTGATATTGTGAAGGTGTTGATAGTGACATACTAAAGTGTGTATTACATTTATTCTTAAGACATTTTTTAATGAATCCCTATGGCTCCAGGTTCCAGTCCTCGTGGGCCAAAACACTGCAGACTTTAATCATGTTTAATTATGTAAAGTGTTCTTTGAGTGTTCATGGTTCTATATATAACCATTTTCTTTACTGAAGAACCCTTAAAGAACCATCTTTTGTAAGAGTGTATGCTGCCACAAAAGTTCAGTGACAGGGTATGTGTGAAACAAAACAAAATAGCAAGACTGTATGATTCATATCTTTAGGAGATTATACAAACTATGGGTGCACAGTTTAACTCTGTGTCAGTAAAGGGTTCAACTGTAAATTCAAACTGTGAATTCACTAATTAGAACGGCTGTCTGGACACTTTTGGACTTAGCGTACCATGTGTTTCCATTCTGCAAAACACTTAAGTAGCTTATCTAGGTTCTACTAGTGCAGTCCTGTAAGTGGTGTTACTCTTTAAAAATAGCTGTACTTTCACACCTCAGTGTAGCATGTTTTTGCTCTTTGCTTTTTGCAGAAGAAGAACTGCCCCTCCTGTGTGCTCTAACAAATGTAGATTAAAACACTTGAACCAGGATGTGTCTCTCTTTAGTTTAGTATGTACAGCAAATGTAAGCAATCCTAACTTACACATACACTATATGTCCAAAGTTTGTAGAGCCTGCTCATCCAACGTTTCTTCTGAAATGAAGAACATTAATAGAGAGTTTGTCCTCGTTGCTCTAGTTACTTTTCCTCTACTATTCTGGGAAGTCTTTATTGATGTGAGGATTTGATTGTATTCAGTCACAAGAGCATTAGTGAGGGTCAGGTACTGATGTTGAATGATTAGTTCTGGATCACAAACATCACTCCAACTCATCCCAGAGATATTGGATGGATAGTCCCACTGCTCCACAGCCCATACCCCTCCAGGCTGATGCTTAGCACTGTTCATGGTGACCTTAGGCTCATGTGTGGCCGCTCCTGAGTGTTCCATTCTATTAGGTTTTCTATGGAGATTATTCAAGCTGTGTGTGCGTAGTTGAATTCCAGTGTCATCATCTTAAAGTAACTGAATTATGAATTATGAGCTGAATTAATTTAAAGAGGTGGAAATGGGGATTCTTAAAAAAGAAAGGGGGATTCTTAAAAAAGAAACTCTTAAAAGGGAGCAGCATTGCATTGCGATGTTGAGCAGAAGCAGGACCGTGTGAGGTTATGTTGAAGATTGTGGTATTGCTTAAGTAGGCCCTTATGTATGATGCTGTTTTTTTTTTTGTTTGTTTTTTTTTATGGTGGCGTGGTTTTTCACACTTCAATACAGCATGCTATTTTTCTTTTGCTTTCTGCAGAACAGCTGCCTCTTCTGCAGTAACTTCAATGTTAGTGACTCATGCATACTTTAGATGCAAAAAAAATCTTATTTGGCAGCAGGTGTACTTTAAAAACTCTTGAATGAAAGATATCATCATTCATTGCAGCAATGGAAATACCATGGTCATCTGGATCCTACTGGCTGTAGGGCTGGGGCTGCTGCTGATTCTGGCCACCATTATAACCTGCATGCTGAGAAAAAAGTGCAGTAAGTTTTCACCATCTCCCATTTTCTTACAGGCCTTTTTGGCATGCTTTTAAAACTTTGCTATTAAAAAGGATGGGGTTAATGGCTATTACCAAATGTCCATGTTGTGCTATCTTGTGTGTTATTAATGTTGTGTTATTACATAAGTACAAGTAGACAACTAATTCATTAATATTCATTAATTCTGTAATATCTCACTCTAACAGATGGAAATCAAATAGAGACCAGAAAAAGGGTCAGTAATACTGTAGTTCACACAGTCAGTATTGTGGTTCTGGTGCTGTTCTGCTGTTGGAGCAGTAGTTAGTGTTGTGCCTCTCTTGCTTCAGACTTGTTTTTAGAAAAATGAATATAATACATTTATGGGTCCATTTTTCTTATATAGTTGTGACTTTGTGTAAAATCACATTTGTATGTATGAAACAGACACTTACGACTGAAAGCCCAGTGACATACAGTGCTGTGATTTCTAAGAATAAAAAGGTAAGACTTTATTTTTCACATACATCTCTATATCAGGGGTGTAGACACAGGTAGGCCTAGATTGGTTACAATCCTACTCAATCAAATGCTGAAATGTTATGTATTAAGCTGCCTTTTTATAAGGGTAATGAAATGTAAAAATCACAAAAGCTACAGTGGGCTTTGGCATTAAAGGTAGCACATACACTATATGGAAAAAAAGTATTGGGACACCCACACATTATACCTAGAGGAGCTTTCATGACATCCCATTCTAAATCCATATGCATTAATATGGAGATGGTCCCCCCTTTGCAGCTATAACAGCTTCCACTCTTCTGGGAAGCTTTCTACAAGACTTTGTGCGTGTCTGTGGGAATTTTTGCCCATTCATCCAGAAGAGCATTTGTGAGGCCAGACACTGATGTTGGACAAGAGGGTCTGGCTCACAATCTACGTTCTAGTTCATCCCAAAGGTTTTCGATGGGGTTGAGTTCAGGGCTCTGTGCTGGCTAGTCAAGTTCCTCCACACCAAACTCATCCAGCCATGCCTTTATGGACCTTGCTTTGTGCACTGGGTCTCAGTCATGCTGGAACAGAAAAGGTTCTTGCCCAAACTGTTCCCAGAAAGTTGGAAGCATACAATTGTTCAAAATGTCTTGGTCTGCTGAAGCATTAAGATTTCCCTTCACTGGAAATAAGGGGCCTAAGCCAACCCCTGAAAAACAACCCCATAGCATTATCCCTCCTCCACCAAACTTTACACTTAGCATAGTGCAGTCAGGCAAGTAACACTCTCCTGGCATTCACCAAACCCAGACTCATCCATAAGACTGACAGATAGAAAAGCTTGATTCGTCACTGCACAGAATGCGTTTGCACTGCTTCTGAGTCCAGTGGGGTGTGCTTTACACCACTCCATGTGACGCTTGGCATTGTGCATTTTGATCTTAGCCTCGTGTGTAGCTGCTCGGCCATGGAAACACATTTCGTGAAGCTCCTAATGCACAGTTCTTTGGCTGATGTTGCTTCCAAAGGCATTTTGGAACTCATTAGTGAGCGATTTAACAGAGGATAGGCACTGTGCGCTTCAGCACTCGGCAGCCTATCACCATTTTCATGCCCTCTATGGCAGTATTTAACCTAGGATGATTAGGCTTAGGTGTTGTTGTTCCTCTTCTTTGTACATTTTAGCTTTCAGATTTTACCCCAGTTATGTCGTCTTCACTGGGTAAAAACAGTGACTGTGGTGAGTGGACGCATGGTTTATTGTGAAGATGTTGCAGTGTTGGCTGTGTTTATGTGAATCAGGCATTCTTGCCATTGTTTTATATCACCATAGGGTGAAAGCTTCGGAAAAGGTGATGACTGCACCGCTGTCAGCAGTAGGCTATAGCCTGATGTTATGACACTGAGGGATATTGTGCATTTGGAAATTGTATCTACCAAGTTGGCCCACTCACTTTTTCACAGGAATACCCCAAAATATTTCTGCCTACACCACGGCTGTATGAAAATGGTATTTAATTACTGAAACATTAAAGATTATGTTACTGAGTAAATTATGTCCACAGGCTTCATCTGTATTGGATCATGAAAATGATGTGATCTACAGCAGTGTAACCACAACTACCAAAAAGAAAACTGTAAGTGTAAAATACAGCCATCATCACCGGCAACAGGTAATTGTTTTGACCACTACACAGTTTAAGTTGAGTGGGCATTAGCTGGTTGAAATCTATAAGTGTTTATGAGGAAAAAAATATAGCTAAATATAGCTTTGATGGATTATTAAGCATTTAGTGAAAGAGTGCTCAGGGTGGTATGAAAGAGATCCCTCATTATTTCTAACCCTGTCCTATTTTCCAGCTCTCTCAGGCAGTTGGAGATGATGCAGTGATCTACAGCTCTGTGGTTTCGGAGTACAAGGTGAGAGAGTCTCAGAGTGAGGGTCAAAATACAACAGCTGTGAAATGGTCGGTAATGGACTGTTTGGTCCAGTGAAAAATCAATTGTGCCCCAAATGTTGTCGATTGGTGAAGCTATGTTTGGTGTCCCAAAGTCTATTTGGGTGACACAGGCAAGGGAAGACAAGACAAGTTTATTTATATAAGCACAGCTCATGCATAAAGGAAATTTAATATGCTTTATGTAAATAAAAGCAAAAAGGAGTTTCAAAAGGAAAGATAAATACAAAGTGCATAAGAGTGAAAATCTGTAAAAATAAAAAAGTACAGTGACAGTAGCTTAAAAAATATAAAACAGATAATTAAAAGGAAGTACAAAGTACATAAAAGAAGAATATAAACTTAAAGGAAATTAAAGATAAATTAGCATTATTATTTTAGAATAAAAATTAAATTAAAATCAGCTTATTAGGGTTAAAGTGCAGTCAAACTAGAGTGCAAGTTTTAGAGCTTAATCATAAAGAAAAGAGGAATGTTTTTAATATGGATATAAAAAATCATTACATTTGAGACACATCTAAAACCTTCTGGCAGTTTGTTCCAGTTGTTTGCAGCATAATGTAACTTCTGTTAGCTCAGGGCTCGAGTGCAAAACTACAGAAGCAAACTTTGGACACCAAATATGTTTTTGCCATTTGGGTACTTTTGGAGTCATTTGAACATTGTATAAATTTGATTTGTTGGTTTTTTACTTTTGTTTTTTGTTTGTTTTTGTTTTTTTTTGTTTTTTTTTTACAGGTGTAAGCAAGTGTGTTTCTGGAAATAATCCCTGGCCAGATCCCTTACAAAGAAGAAAGAAGTGCAATGCAAGTCATCTGACAATGGAATTTGTACTGTACATTAGGAGGCTTTTATGATGAAAATGTCTTCATTCCAAGACTTTAACTTTAGGTTTTTTCTTCCTGCTTATTCACACCATTTCTACCCATAAAAAACTTACCTTTCAGAAGTACCTGCAGGTGCACTGCATATACGTATGAAAACTTAAAGGAATGTATTGTTGAAAATTCAAATTAACACAGTTTGTCACTTACCTCAGATGTCGTCGATCAGCCAAGACAAGTTTGGTGTCCAAATGTTGCTTCTTTAGTTTAGCGCTGGAGCTACAAGGTTAATATTGCTAACAAACGCTGAAAGTCAATAGTCACCCAAATCTTTTTCATAAATATACCCTCAAAATGTCTCTCAACCCCTTCAAAGCACATCTAGATCTTCATTAAAGTTGTAAAGATTTGTCGATGTGGTTTAGGACACAGAATGACTTGCTGTGAGTTATGAAAATGCACAAAACCTCCTCATGTAGACATCCACTTTACAGGTGTCATGCCAACTACCCCACAAAATCCAACTTCTACTGTTTGTTAGCAATGTTGGCCTTGTAGATTGAGCACTAAACTAAAGAGGCAAAATTTGGGCACCAAACAATTCTCGGCTCATTTATTAAATCAGGTGTCAGTGGAACATGTGCTGTTTGCAAGTGTATTGTTTAAATATTTGTTGTGACGTTGTATGTTTGGAGTTTCTCACTCTTACAGTGTTTTTACACCAGGCAGTGCAGTGCAGTACAGTACATTTACAAATTTGTGATCATACAATGCACCTGGGTAGTGATGCTGAGTTTACTCTTCTCATTGGGGGACTGGGAGTTGATTCTAAAAAGAATCAATTCTTTGATTCCAGACATTCAGGAATCAACAGTCGACTTTGGACTCGATTCCACACAGTGATGTTTAAGTTTGTCCACACTCACACACATACAGAGTGAGAGATGTTCTGCGGTCACTGTCTAGACTGCCTGTCTGAAAATGCAGCCTTCCACAGCTCACACATCAAGAGTCCAGCTGTATTTTGCTTCAGAGAATGTGGAAAACAGAGTAACGTGTAATATTTGTAATGAAAAGTCAAACAGCACTGCCAGTGGCAAAACATCTACCCACCTGAAAGAGTTGACAGAGGAGACTCAGGTGCAGTTTAGTCAGCCTTGCTAAGGTCAAAAATATTTAACTCTGTACTCTATATTTTTGCCAAATGTGTTGGTTTTTGAAATTGAGATTATTGTGTGGAATCGATTCTTTGAACAGGCCTGCACTGTTGTACCAAGTGTGCCGAGCTACAACATATGGGTTGAGCTTGTAATGGTCCAAACCGCAGTCAACAGAGTCACACAGTGTTGTTGGAGTCAGACAACCATTATTTAAAACAACAACAATAACAAAATCACTATAGCTAGAATCGCTGTCTGTGACTCTTAAACAAAATCAAATGCAGAGTAAAAGGTAACTCAAAGTTATTGTTGTTACTGTTGTTTGTGGTCACTGTTAACTTTAGATTCACATCAGAAATCATGTAACTGTAGAAGTTAGAGAACATCTCCTATTTTCACATTTCTATTAAGCAACGGGAAACAGACACAGATACTCAACCAGGGTACATAGTTCTGAGTTTGGATTAGTAAATGTACCCTGCTGTGCTGCACTGCCCGGTGAAAAAAACACCATAGGTGACCCTTTCCTACACTCCTCCCTCCAGTTGAATCTGTAGCACCATACAGTCTAGAAATTTCTGCATCCAGGATGTGAAAATATAGGCCATTCTTGTAATGGACATGTCCATGGGGAGTGGATGTTGTACTCTGTGCTGGAGTTCCCAGAAGTGTCATCAGTGTTTACTTTTAATCCTAATAATCTGTAAAATGCTGTAATAATCAATGCAGAATATTTTCTGCATTGTTTTTAACTTGTGATTTAGATTATAGTGCAGTGTGTTTTTTATCAGTGTGCAGTTTGTGCAGTGTGTTTTTTAGCAGTGTGCAGTTTGTGCAGTGTGTTCTTAGTAGTGTGCAGTTTGTGCAGTGTGTGTTCTTAGTAGTGTGCGGTTTGTGCAGTGTGTGTTCTAAGCAGTGTGCAGTTGTGTGTGCAGTGTATGTTCTAAGCAGTGTGCAGTTGTGTGAAGTTTGTGTTCTAAGCAGTGTGCAGTTGTGTGTGCAGTGTATGTTCTAAGCAGTGTGCAGTTGTGTGAAGTTTGTGTTCTAAGCAGTGTGCAGTTGTGTATCGTTATGCAGTTGTAGTTTATTCACATTAACCACTGAGAATTATTTTCTGTCTGTGATGTAAGAAAGTGAAATAACTCAGTAATGACAATAAATGATGAAAGTGCAGCAATGTACCTTGTTCACATGTTAAAATGAATTATTACCTGTGTAAAAGAGGCAGAGGCAGTGGGTGCAGGCAGTTTAACAGATCACTGACCATAGCAGACCACACCTGGTAATATCAAAGAAAATTAAAAACAAAGAAACAAAAAAACAAAAAAACAAAAAAAAAAAACACATTCATTATGCAGACTCTATTTAGTTTGTTTATAGCAGGACTGATTTATCTGTTAATTTAGACAGTACTGTGTAAAATGTATTGCATGAAGAAGGGAATACATTTTTAAAATTATATCAATGAAAAAAACTTAAAACAATGAATTATACTTCAGGAAAACATAATAATAATGTTAATGTTAGTAATGTCAAACGATATGAAATTAATATCTAAAAAGTTTAAGCTGCTGTTTTATGATTGTTAGCTGAGGATGATTCACATGTTTTGTGGGAGGTTCCACAGTTTGCATAGACACTAAAAGCAGCATTACCTCTTTTTGTATTTTGTTCTTGGGTCAGAAAGTAATCATGTGTTTGACAATCATCCTTGTGGAGCAGATTTAGTCAATTTTAAAATGTGTTCTGTATGAAACAGGTGACCAGTGAAGCCTTGCCTGTACAAGAGTAATATGCTCATTTTAGTAAAACATCACAAAGTAGAATAAGACCTTTAAATATTACCTTGTTTTTTTATATTTTAAAGGATCAAAAATGAATCTAAATATTTTAAAAAGTAATATTCTGTAACAGGTTTTGCAATTTTTATTATTATTATTGCTAGAACCTTATGTGAGGGTGTGAGGTAACCCGGATTTATTTGAAGTCTACAGACCAGGGCAAGAGAGACAAACGCTCGCACCAAGGATGCTTCAGAAAAGGGAATTTATTGGCTAAATATCAAACTACTTTTGGACTACATTCAATGATAAACAATAGAAAATAAAACAAGAAAACAAAACAAAACAAAACAAAGTGATAGTAATGAAAGACAAAATAGCTCGAGTAAGTTAGAGTGATTCACGGCTAAATGGTATGAGGCAGTGTGGTTTGGGAAGTCGCTTAGGAGAGCCTCTAGAGAATTAACCTAAGCCTGGACGGGAATAACTATATGGCTGGATGTACCTTTAAAAGTTCTCTTATTAAATAAATTGGCGTCAGGGCCCTGACTGCAAAGTGATGGGACCAGCTTACGTTGGAGTCGGGGGCTGACTTCAGGCGGGGTCGTCTCAGGACAGACTTGATCGAAGGCTGGAACTCACGCGGTGGTTCATCTCCTCGCTGGCCGTGGATGCTGCGTCTCTGTGCGGACACGCGCCTTCCCCGTCTGACAGTGAAGCTTGGGCAGCCTTTTGATGGTCGATCTGTTCACAGATCAGTGCGTGGTTCTGGGTGCGATGCTGGGTCTCCGTGGCGTCAGAACCGCTCCCACTCCGCTGTTCAGGTTCAGGTTGCAATCAGCGTTCTGAGGCTGGTGATACTAATTTAACTAACTACCTCTCTTTAGCAGAATCGAAAGTTATGGATATATCCTCCCTGGCCAGACAAGAAATATCCACCTTCCTTCTCTGAGGGTGGTTCAAACTTAAGGTGTGTAGGCGAACAGGCAAGTTACAAAACAAACAAAGGTTTCAGATCTGAAAATTTAGCGTCCTAATACTTCTGACCTGTCTTTCTGACCTAGGCCGGCACAAACTTAGAAACTTTGTTGCGAACGCAGGAACTCCCAAATTTGCGGTGCACTCTGGTTTTGCTCGGCTGGAGGCGGTGCCAGAGTGCTAATAGGTTCTCCTCACCTAAGGTTCTCTGACTGGTTGTGCATAGTTTGAGGAATGCCTTCCCCAAAATCACTGCCTCCTTTGTTTCAGCTAGTTTAAACAGAGAAAAAGAACATTTCTATATCATCCAATTGGTTTAACTTTCAAAATCAAGGAATGAACAATTAGGATATTCAGGCATGTTTCTAAGAGAGAGTTTAACCCTTGTTAGCTGATACACAACACATGTCAAAGAACACAGGTACTATTTGCCTATCATCTAGATCATAGAAACGTTGATAATCAAGCAGACAAAGCACAAAGTTTTCTTGCTTTCTTATAAGCACAAGTCCTTATGGTGGTGATGTGGTAATTTGTGGTTTCACCCCTTGGGGGTGCTGTGGGTCCATGCTTGGGATCCCTAGGGAATTTAGAAAGTTGGAATTTTGCCGTCCAAAGTCGTACAAATTCAGTTTTGGTATGTCTAGTTTAGTTAAAAAGAGTTCTAACGAATGGTTGCAGTTTGGAGTGGACATATACCTTAGAAATGTACTTTCTGTTACTTAAGATAAAAAGTTGTCCACAGTACTTTGGAGAGCCATCTGCCACATTCCAGAGGAAGTGTCTTGTTTTTCTGCTGGGTGAAGGGAGAGGGGTGCTGGTTCTTGATCCGGTTGTAAATTTTGGGTTGGTCTGGGTTGGGGTATCAAGCCTGACAGATTTACACCTCCAACCAGTCTTGCTGGAGCCAGAAGGCCCTTAACTTTGGGTAAACACTCAGCTGGAGTTAAAATTCCAGCCATTGTTCTCTACAATTCATAAAAAAACTGACTGCTCTGCTCTGGTAAGATGCCACTAAATATTAAGGTAATACTTTCAATATAACAACTGCTACAGTAAATATGCCGAGAAATGCATATATAGCAAGCCGTAACATTTTTAATAGCAGCAAACACAATAAAAACAATATTTCTGCGGTTTGTGCAGTGTGTGTTTTTGTTGGAAAGTTGTTACAGCCTGATGCAGTTCACAATCAGGCCAGTAGGAGGCAGAGCATACTAATAGTGTGATGGTCTAAAGCAATGTTTCTCAGCCTTGGTCCTGGAGACCCACTGCCCTGCATATTTTGTGCTTTTCCTGCTTTAACACACCCACTTTAACTCAATATTGAGCTGTTAACAAGCTGATTAGTCAGATCAGGTGAGTTGGGAGCAGGAGAAACTAAAAAGTGCAAAGCACAAAAACGTTTTGTGTGTTTTCTTCAACAAAACAAAGAAAAAACATCTGTATCCTCCACTAAACCCCAAGCAGATAAAACTGTACATTTATGGAATGTTTCTTATATGAATGAAGGTACTGTCCTGTTTATACACAGAATATGTACTGTAATTTAACAGAATTCTCGTTAAATAAGTGACAGAATTAACTGTACATTTTATAGAGATTTTTGAACAGTATAGGTGACCTACAACAACTCAGTAATTTGTTTATAGTCTTTGGGTCTGCCTCCCACTCCCACCCATCAACACATTGCGGAAGAATAGATTCTGTGTTCAGGTAACTAATGTATTCTTTTACATTAAAAATGCATATGAGTTTATACATTATGATTTTGCTCAAATGCTCATCACTCATTTTGGACTCGCTCAGGAGTGCCCTTTAGCATAATTCTCCTCTCTACAAGAAACATTATTTTGCTGTAAAGCGTTGGATGAAAGGATGGAAAAAAATGTCTTTGCCTTAGCCTGCTTAGCCTGCTGTTTGCATTTGAACATAAACAATGCAATGAAAATGAGTGGGCACAGAAAACAAACACTGCACGAACTGCACATAGAGTGGGTTTGAATTTGGTTGAAATGCCTGAAAATACAAATGCTTCTTTACAGACAGTTTCAGTCAAGGCTGCTAAGCAAGTGAAAGTGAATCTGTTAGAGAGCTCACAGGACATATAGCATCTTTAGTGCAAACCATTCAACAGGAGAGCACACCAGTACATGGTTCTCAGTCAAAATTCACCCCAGAAGGACACAGGAAACAAAGGAGGCAATGTAAACAATGTCATCAGGACAATAAATGTACCTGTAACCATTGTCAAGTGTGGTAGTGATACTCACTGGTCAGAAAGGTGCAGAGCAGGGAACACTGGAGGCTCTTCAGGAAGCAGACAGCGGTCAAGACCACAGGACAAGTCATGACCTCCCCAAAAACAGTGTCTCATTGTAATGTAGACTCACCAGGAAAGACCGCACAGTCTCAGCCGAACCATGACAGACCTAAAAATATAACTTCACTGATCATACTCCTGTTTCACAATGGCAAGAGCCTAAACTCATCAATGCCAGCTCCAATTTGATGGATCCAATATCGAAATGTATTAGCATTGCTGAGCTAAGTGGTAAAATATGTCTAAGGTGGTGTTTGAACAGCTCATGCCAATACTGGTCAGTAAGGCACTGGTTGAAAAACCCATCATTGGCTTTAACACAACTGAGGAGATCTTTAAAAAACAGTGAACATAGCTCTGGCAGTAAAGAATCCCTTGAGAGTGTGAGGATACTGAGAAACCCCTCGAGACATGGACAAGGAAAGGCTGAAACACTGTTGAACTTGATCCAAAATGGAATTAACGATGATGATACTCACCCGGTAAAGACTGGTAAAACTCCTGTTGCAATTGAAAGTGGACAGCTGAAACAAGTCACTCGCTTTATGGAACAAATTGCATGATACCTGTTTACATATTCTTTGAACCAGGCATCTCAGAGAGTCACTGTCAGTGTAAGTAATACAACTAATCATGACATTTCTCTTCCAGTCAGGGCTGTTATAGGGTGTTATAAGGCAAACGCTCTGCAAACCCAAACTACTGTGTCAAAAACATGTGCACAAGGCAAGGCAAGTTTATTTATATAGCACCTTTCAAACACTGCTA